ACTTCAGTAAAGGATCTGAACACAATTGCAGGTAAAGACAATGCACACTGCAGCAGTGACATCCTCAGCATCAGCACCAAGACAGACAAATATCTGCAGAGCTCCCACTCTGATCCTTTTTTAAAGTACCAGAAACAAGTGGAACAAAGGTAAATATACTGCACTTCTAAACGTACACTTCATGATTTGTGTAAATGCTGTAAGCCTGCCCCTAACCAGTTTCTATGGCAACGAAATTAAACGTGGCTAGATTTATTAATTAACTTGTGGATTAAAGCGCATGCGTGGATGACAACGCCCACTTTACGAAGACACGTCCGTCAACCCAAATAGACGATCTTCGAAGCGGTGAGACGATCGGCGTGGTTATGTTCTCAAATATTTCTGCCTATAAGTGTGATTTTATCGTAATGTTGACCTCCATTGCAACTTCATACGAAATTGGTATTTGTTTTAAGTGTGTTAAAGCTGTTGGTGCTGCTTCTTAAAGGAAAAACTGCTTATTTAGCGACATGTAATTATAACAGACCCCCGTCCTGCTGTGTAATGGTACAGTCCGTCGACGTCCTGCGCGGGAGCGGAAAACGTGCATCCGACTGTGCGGAAAAGCAGCAGCGTTTTCCTGGTAAAAATTTACGATATTTAAAGAATTTGCTTAACTACGACACATGCCCTGCTTTCTTGTAGATGTGTGCACTCACTAGAGGTTAATAGAGGGAACTGTTGTACTTTAGCTAGCAGCTAACAGCTACAAGCTAGCTAGAGTGTGTGTTTGTTGATGAGGCTTTACTCACATCGTGTTCATGCTCGTTAACGTGCCTTTCACGTATTATTAGGTGTCGGTGAGATTAGCTTGGGTACATTCCGTGACTGTGAGAAACGCAGGACTATTTATGTCTCAGTAAACCTGACTGTCATGTTTGAATGAACTGTGGACTATGAAGGATGTTGGTTGCGGTTAAGGGGGAGGGGCACCGAGTGAGTGCGTGTCTCATGCACCCCAGTGGGGTTTATGTGAATCAAGGTGCACATGGTTTTATCTAAGTGTACGTTTGCTTTATTTTCCAGCTTGGTAATACATCCAACATGGCTCGAGACTGGAAACCCGGTGATCTGATTTTTGCCAAGATGAAGGGTTATCCACACTGGCCTGCAAGAGTAAGTCTGGGGCTCAATCACAGGAAATGCAAATATTTAAACAAGTGCCACTGATTTTAGGTTAATTAAATGTGCCTTATGAGTAAAATGCATGTGCAAATGACACACATGCATGTAGTATGTTGCAATTCTGTGCTTTTAGTTTCCTCTCCTGTCTGTCTTTGCCAGATCGATGAAGTCCCAGACGGTGCAGTGAAACCATCCAACATCAAGTTTCCCATTTTCTTCTTCGGCACCCATGAAACGTTAGTAACAGACCACAACCTAACTGTCTGTGTCAACGCCTTTGAGTTAGATGAGCATTTAGTGTTTCACTTAGTCTGAATTCTCAAACAAAATAGGATATATTGGAGGAAATGCATGGCCTGTTTAACCATATGTAGACATTTGTCCATGCAATAGCCTGTCATAGAATCTCTTCAGTGAAAGTACTGGTGAATCACATGATGAATAAGAATTTCAATGTACTTGAAATCTTTATTGAAATTGTTGAGAAGTAAGTGAACTACAGTGGTTAAGGCAGTATTATTATTATTTTTTTTATTCCAAATGTATTATTTTAAATAGTAAATGGTTGCATTTATATCGTGCTTTCCTTCAGTTGTCTATTGAGTTGTCATTGCGCTCTGTTGAGGGACATTGTTTCTTTAATACATTAATATTTGATGAGGGGCTGAACAGTTACCTGCCTGTTGTGGCACTGGGTGCTCCTGCTCTACTTCATAGTAAACCCATACTACATTTTTAATGATTCAGAAAGTGTCAGATGTACAAATACCCTTAAAATAGTTTTCTTTTCTACAGGGCATTTCTTGGCCCAAAAGATATCTTTCCATATCAGCCTAACAAAGAGAAGTATGCCAAGCCCAACAAGAGGAAAGGCTTCAACGAAGGACTGTGGGAAATAGAGAACAACCCAAAAGTAGAACTTACTGCACCCAAGGTATGTCTGCCTTCTCTTTGTCTTTTCAGTACGTCTCCTTTAGACTTTGGTCTTGGGGTTGGATTGACTGTAACTCAGATACTGCTTTACTCCACTGAGTGTGGCAGTTTATTGTGCATGCACTTGTATTTGCTTTTATCTTTATTTTGCAACCCCATGTGTTTAGTTAAATAGATACTTCAAATTCAAGAAAGCTTGACTGGCCCATAAGGGGATCAAACCCTCTGCGTTATTAGCACGCAAGCCCACTGGCTACGTTCCCTCAGGCTTCACTCACATAAATGGGCCACCATAGTGTACCTATAGTTTTTAAAAATTTCCACGTACCTGGCAGAAACAAAATCTTGAGATATATTCCTTCACAACATTAATACCTTGTTAATGCAAATTCAGGATCTTTTTTCAGCTGAATCACATTTAATTTTATAATATTTTTTTGTAAAGGAGAACTGATGATGGATTTAGTAGGAAGCAGCTGTAGTAAGGTTTACTACCAGGAGTAACTTCGCTGATTTAGACCCCCATCGTTATTATTGTTTTCCCCAGTTGTCTCATTGAACTCTCTCAACTCCTCTTCACATTGCTCAAAAATATCTTTTGTCTAGCATAACAAAGTTATAATGCAAAGAAAAAAGTCATTAAAGAGTATCTCCTTTGATTATTTGTTTTACCAAAACGGAATAACGTTGAAATCAACATGTAGAACATTTTTCCATGTTTCCACGGGTGTTACCAACACTAAAGAAATGGGGCCTTTACATACTGTAGACATTTTGCTACTTCTGTTTTATGTTTTTTGATACCTGTCTCCTAACACGGCCTGCAGTTCATCCTGAAAGTCCCTAAACTTTTGTCATAGGAACACAGATTTTTTAGTCTAGTTCTAGTCAGAGTGAGGGCTTCATCCTCTGCTCATTAAACACAAGTAATACGTGTAGAATAAAGACCTTTTTTTATAAAATATCTCGACTTTAATCTTTCCCAACGGAGCGGCACATCAACGTTGAGTATTTCAAGGACTGTTGGAAAGTTGAAAGTCTGACTATTAGTTCTGTTTTTACACTTTCAAGCTCTGCTAAGAGGTGTAGCTTTTTATTGTTTTTTTTAAAACTGCAACATGCATTTCAAACCTGTGGGCAGGCTTAGGGGTTCACAGGGTTAACCGAATTCTTCTTCTGTTTGAAGCCGGTCCCTCCTGAGTCTTTTGCTGAGAAGGATTCAGACAGCAGTCCAGAAGGAGAAGAGGATGCAGATGACAAGGGGATGAAATCCAAAGTAAGCTTCTGTCTTTCCAAAGTAAACATATACAGTCGCTCCGCTGCATTGACATTCTACTGGTTTGTTCCTGTGTTTTTAGCTTCTTTCTTCTTCTTCTTCTTCTTTTTTTTTTTTGTTGCTGTCTCGAAAGTCTTTCTCTGTGTGTCTGCTTCATACTGAATTACATATCACTGCAGGACACGGTTTACAAGTCACGAGTGTCATTCTTTGATTACAGCTGAAGAGGCATGTGTGCAAAGAATAGTATGTGCTCCAGAAGAATACTCGCTAACTTTTCTCCCTTTCAAGACTCGTTTACCCCACCACACTGCGTCCTATGCTGTGTCTTGGGTGCATTCAGGTTCCAGGAAGTGAGGCTGAGCAGGAGAATGAGAATGAGGAGGAGGAGGATGATGAGGAGGAGGATGATGAGGAGGAGGAAGGGTCTCTGATCTCTGAGCAGGGTCCTCAGAACCAGGATGTACGTACTTTGCATGCTGGGTTACCATAAAGCGGTGCAGGTCATCTCACCCCCTCTCCGTGGGAAAGCATGTGACACTTGGTGGTTTTTTTCAATTGGTGGTTTTTTCTGTTTGACTCAAAATTCTTGTTGGTGGCCACAAAGTTCTGTCGGTGCTTGATGTTTTATTTAGAATGATGATATCAGGGAAGCACTAAGGGCTCACATTGTGCTAGAATGTCTCCGGATCAAATCAATTTAGACAAAATTCAGTGTCTGACTAAAGCAAAAATACAAAAGGTGCATTTTGTTCTGTTTTCTCTCTGTCTGAGACCATCCTGACATTTTGTGGTAGCACTTTCCATTTCCCTTTTCCTGTCAATATACTGCAAAATTCTACTGTTTGCAATCAGTTGATGCTATTTTATTTTTGCATGGCTTTCTGTGTACTTTGGAGAAAGGTAAGTTGGGACTGAGTTAATGTCTTAATGTAGTTTTATTCAAGATGAGACTGATTGTATTTTATTACTACGCTCCTCCTGCTTTGTCTGCTATATTTTAACACATCACAAGCTGTGTCCCAGTTCTGCAGTACATACAAGTTCATACAGAAGTTCTAAGACCTACAAATGTCTGACTAAAAAACAATAGATTTTTTATTTTTTTTGTGCTGTTGTTGTGCCCTTGTGCTCAATGGCGGAGTCCGCAAAGAAAACGCTCACAACTCTAAAATACAAATAAGTACAGCTGTATCTTCTCTCTCAAGATGAAGTTAAATTGGCAGTAACATCCTAAAGTAGACCTGGGACACATCTGTAGTGAATGCACATTTAATATTGCATAAGATGTAATACACCAGTTATACACTAGATGGTGTCACTGATCCCTAATCAAAGGCCGACCAATGCAATGTCCACGATCTTTTGACCCAGCTTCTTCTCCTCTTACTGCTGCAGTTTCTACTGTCGCGTTGAAATGAATTACGGACACAGCTAAAAAAAAAAAAGAAAGGGGAAAAAACAGCATTATGCCAACTGTAATAAAATTATTGAATCGTGTCAAATTTTAGGGCCCCACTCAGAAAGAATCGGCAGATGTTCCCAAACCCAAGAGAGGAAGAAAGAAAAAGGTTGGTGGTGTTCATTAAATGGTTTGGTTTCAGAAAGCATATAATTAATAGTAACAGATTACAAGAAATATTTTAAAACCCATGTTTTAACTTTTTTTCTTAGACTGATGGGGAGCAGGAGATTGAAAAAGATGACGCGCCAGCAAGTCCTGTCAGTCCTTCAGGTAGGCTGTATGTCCTGGGATGCTGTTTGTGACTTTTGGCCCTCAAGATGATGATTAATCCAAATGACATCAACTTAAGGTTTGCTGTACACACAGTTTGTTTGAGAGTGACCATAAGACAGACACACATAGGCAGGAGATGGATATATACTGTGTAATAAGTGGATACATTAGACACACTGGCAACCCTTAGCAAGCATTACTAGGACTTTATTTGAATGTAATGCCAAATGTTAGTAGAATTCTGAGTATTAACTTCATATGCACAAACTGAATTTATGTCGTGTGTGTCTGCACATGTAATCAGGTGGAGAAGGTCCAAAACGAAGAGGCAGGAAACCCAAAAGTGAGAAGTTGCTTTTGCTTCAGCAGCAGGACCAGCAAGGCTCTGGAAGTGAAATGTAACTATCAGCAAACACGGCACAGAATTCTCACATAAACCTCACGTTTGCTTTCTGTACATTACCATTGCTTAGGCTGTCTGCCCACGTTTATTTTTCCTGCATCGAGAACAGAAGTTCTGTAAATGTACTTTTTTTTAATGTAAGTTTGTCAAACTGTCAGTCCTTTCATAGAGCACAGAAACTGTAATTTCACAGACCATTAGGACAGCAACATCTAAAAACAAAAACATGTCTTTTCCTCTTTTCAGGGACACTGGTGAGTTGGACAAAAAGAGAAAGCGGGCACTAGAGGATAAGTCCCAAAGTGGAGAGGAGGAGAAGAGAAAGAAGAAGGAGGACAGCAAAGGAAAGGATGCAGAGGCAAAGGAGCCTGAAACCAAGAAGAAGAAACAGTCGAAGGACGACAGCTCCTCTGGCTCTGACGACGAAGAGGCAAGTATCCGCTCCGTGCAAGTGTCTACACAAGTTCTCAGCACTGAAGCACCAACATTGTTTCTAATAAAGGCTGTTGTTGCAGTCAGCGTGATGTTTTCATGTGCATGATTTTGATTTCAGAAAAACAAAGGCCGAAAAAAACAACAAAACTCAGAACTGGACAAAGACGTGCGACGGCGGAAAGCAGATGAATTGAGAGAGTACGTTTACACACACAGTACCCAGCAGAAGTCACCAATGCCTGAAAAGTTATATGGATGGTTATATTACTTGTTACTGGAGGAATGGACGGTTTATATGTAGAAGGGGGACACTTCATGCCTTTATTGGCAGGTTGACGGTATAGAGATAGGAATTGGAGGATTGGAAGTTTTCCAAAGTTGCTGTGGGTGCATTAACTGTGAGGCCAGTGGGGGATTTCTGACACGTTGTGGTTATTACACTCTTTCAGACAAAACAAAGATGATGGCAAGAAAAATGAAGAGAAGACAGGAGCCAAGAAAAAAGGTGATCATTTGAATTCCAATTGAATGTTGCTCAATGATGTGAATGATCATTTCTAATAGATTGAATTTTATTTTATTTTTGGACAGGTTAAAATTATGTTTACAGATATTTTGTTAAATTTGAACTTGAGTAAAATTCTGTTTAAAAAGTATTGTTTTAAGAGGAACACTGGTTTCTTTTCTCTTTCCCTTTACTCAGAAATGTCGACTGACTTGAAACTCCAGAGGCTGCACAGTGACATCAAAGTTTCACTGAAAATTGACAACCCTGTAAGTTCCATTGATCACTGTCAAACACGTTATCTTACATGAGTCTGTCTGTCTCCTCTGACAACTTCATAAATGGATGTTTTCGCCTTTGTGTGCTGAATCGACAGCGAGAGAAGACTTCAGACACAGCACTTTGTTAAAGCATTTCATGCTGATTGTCCGTATAATGCTGTCGATGTATGCTTTTCTTTAATGCAAAACAAAACACCAATACACACATTTACAAAATATATAACAATATAATGAACAGGAGCAGTTGAGAGGATAGGAGCATAGCACCAGGGACTATAAAATGAGAATATTGTTTTCAGAAACCGTAGCTCATAACCAAGGCAGGTTATCACCTCTTGTTGAGAGGTACATGTCCTATTTTTCCCAGAGAGTATCGTATTTGTCCCCGTCAAGAACTTTCTTGTGGAATTTACTGTATCACAGAGAGCCAAAAAAAAACTGTGTGATAGCTCCTCTGGGGTTTTCCTGCCTCAGAGTGGGTTGATTTGGTGTGACTGTGCATGACTGTAAGCGTGATCACTCTGAATACAGTAAAGGCAATGAGTCTGTTACCTTATTTGACAGAAATCTGAAATCTAAGTTAGGCATGAGTAAATGAAACCCTAGTGAACAAAACTAGTAAAAGAAGGTTTTTTGTTTGTTTGTTTGTTTTTTTAGATTTAATTTCTCATTGTTCTGTTTTTTTGGTTGTTTTTTTTTTTTTGGCTTTAAATGAAGGCGATAAATACTCCTCTGTGAAAATGTTTTAAGGTGAAAGACCCTGGTTCTCCCTTCTTATTTTTAAACTCTTGCACACAGATTCTCTCCTTCACACTGATTTGCGTTTGCGGCTTAGGTCTGGCCTTGACCTATGGAGTAGGAAAACTTAAACTTGACCCAGGAACAAGACAGTGTCATGATGAGTCAGTCATTTACTGAAACTGGACTGTGGAAGCATCTCAGTAATGTGAGAGTCAGATGTTTCAACTGTGACACAAAATAACGTCCTTAAAATGACTTACAAAACACACTAGGACACTGGTCAACAGGCTGGACAGTTTGGAATAAGTTTTGATTCTGAAACGAAGCCTTAAAAAATGTCGGTTGATGGCGAGCAAGAAAAAAACAGTCAGTGAAATCAGATTTTTGTAATTATTTTTCTTGCAGCATTTCTGATAAACAATATTTTTTGTGGTTAAAATATCAAACATTGCCTGGTTAAATAAATTAAGAATATGTTATGTTGGTCTGTACGAAATTTTATTGGGCTTTTTTTCTGATGTTTCATAAAATAAATAGTAGTCAAATTATTTGGCAAACTAATTGATGAAAGGTGCCATTAGATGCAGTCCTTATTAGATGCAACAGCACATATTTGTGTCTACTTTCATTTTAAAATGTTCTATTGTTTGTGGACTATCCAAAATACAGTTCCATAAGTTTAGTCTTGGAATTTGTTGTATTTGTTGCTGTTTAATTGTTTTCAAATTAATCAGATTGTCATTTCTTGTGAGGTAGTTTTTTGTGCAGTTTAAGCACAGTTGTTCCATTTTTTAATGGTGCTCAAAGCGGATCACACATCATCTAACATATTTCAAGAAAACAGATAAACATTGAAGCTACCTTACGAGGTGTGTCAGTGAAGTTTCAGGATTGGTGTCACAAACACTACATTTCAAATCCAAACTACAAACTACGAGTTTTCCCCTTCAAAGTAATCCCCCTGGAGTCTAACACACTTCCCCAGCCTTCTCTGCCACGCCGCCATACACTCCTGGAAGGATTCTTCCGGGATCCTCCACAGCTCCGTCATCACAGCCATCTTGATGTCGTCCACGTCTTCAAAACGGGTCCCCTTGCTGACCCCCTTGAGCTTGGGGAAGAGGGAAAAATCCCACGGAGCCAGGTGGGGTGAGTAGGGAGGTTGCTCCAGCACAGCGATGTTCTTCTCAACCAGGAACTGTTGGATGCTCAGGGCATTGTGAGCATGTGCGTTGACTGGTCCTACCACAACTCTCGCCTCTTCTCACACACTGAATGAAGCAAACGCCGCAGGATCTCTTTGTTGATGTGCTGGTTGATCGTCTGAAAGGGAAAACTTGTAGCTTGCAGTTGGGTTTGAAATCTATCTTTTGTGACACCAGTCCTGGAATTTTTCTAACGCACCTCGTAAATCTGTTTAGTCTGAAAACAGTTGCTCAAACAAAGTTCAGATATGCAGAAAACATAAGTACACATTTCGATATCACAGCTTTTCACTTGCCCTTTTTATTTTGCTTTTTGCTAATTCTATGTGCCTTTACTTCTTTTTCTTCCTTCAATGCCACCTTTGTTGTCGACCTTCCCTGCCCTCACTTCACTAGGATGTAAAGAAGTGTTTGGACGCATTGGATGAGATTGGCGCCCTTCAGGTCACAACCCAGCACCTGCAGAAACACAGCGAACTCATTGCAACGCTCAAAAAGGTAGACACGGACGCAGAATGTGTTTATAACCAGGTTGTTGTAAATGATTAAGTTGCTGAGCGCTAATGCAAGCGTTTATTTGTGTTTTAGATCCGCAGATTCAAGGCCAGCCAGGATGTCATGGACAAGGCCACCATGTTGTATAACAAGTTTAAGAGTATGTTTCTGGTTGGAGAAGGTGACTGTGTGCTCAGTCAGGTGCTCAACAAGTCTTTAGCTGAACAACGGCAGCACGAAGAAGCGAAGAAAGGAGCGCTGAAGAGAGTTGAGCAAGCCAAAGAAAACAACTCAGGTACTATTCGTTATCAGTGCTCTTATTTTGTGCTTCTTTCCATTGGCTGGAACACATACGCTGATGATTGTCACATGTTCAGTACATTTATTGATGCCACTGAAACAAGATGTCTGACGTTCTGCCTGAAGTTTTGGTTATTTAAGGTTTTCTAATTCAGTGGAGTCGCTTGTTTCAGCTTTTGGAGTTCATGACTCAGTCTGTCAATGAACAACGAATCTGTGAAGAATTTGATCATGAACACATTAACTGCGACCGCGCACATTGGCAATGAAGTATTTGGGACACTGGCTCACTCTTTGTGCACATTTCAAATGGTTTAACTCCAGCTGAGTTTCCCTTCCGGTTGGGATAACGGCAGCATCAGCAGATGTGATGTGAGTGGATTTCGTGTGACAGGTGCAGATAAAGGTGTTGCTCACCTTGATTAACCCTGCAGGTTTGGAGTATTACTGTTGCCTGCAGCTCTTCATCCTACCAGCTTATCTCTTTTTTTCTGGTTTTAACTCCCCTGCAGTAGTATCACTGGTACAAATGATCTGCAAAAACATGCATCAATACAGACTTAGTGTCAGAATATGCTGAAATGCCTGTAGTATTTTTGTAGTTTCTTTTCTGTCAATGCAGCTTTTAGTCCTGGTCTCACAGCTGTTGGGCACTACACACATATACTGGATAACAGGAGGGGCTTGATGGTGTTGGAATTTTTTTCTTCTTGTGTCCATAAGTTTAAAAAAAAAATCACTAATACCAAAACTGCACATATAAGAGAATATATCTTTGTCCTCCAGGGTGACATAAGACACGCAATTAGTAAAACAAACACATAATTAAAATTACATTACACAGTTTGTGTCAATATTTGTGGCTTGAAATCTCATCAGTCAGAGTTCCTCACTTGGTTTGCAACCTGTGATTAGGGGTTGGATGTACTCCAAGTCAGGGCCTCCGTGACATTGACTTACTGTATGTCCTGTTCCCTAAATAAAGGCTGGGAAATGAGCAAAAAGTCGTCTTAAAAAATTCTGCCAATCAAACTGCAGAGTTAAAAATATCGATGGCACTTGGAATGGAGAAATTCTTAAATGCACGTTTGTTTGCCAGACGGACTCTGTAGCACCTCTCGGAGTTCAAAAGTGAAAATGTTGTTGATGAGGATGTTTTAACCTCTGTAGTATTTATATATACCACACTTTGCTAAGAACCGACTTTAAACAAAATGTTGTCAAATATTCTATTACAGTTAATCTGTACAGACCATATATGCTTATGATTGGCCTTTCTTTAACAAAAATAAAAATTTAAAGAAGGACATGTGTATTATGGCGCTGACAGACTGTGGTTAGGATTATAATGCAGTGGAGACACCATATTTGAATTTATTTTCTACTGTGATAACATTTGTACATCTGTGAATTTGTGCTGATCGCCATTATTCATGATATGTTGTATACAAGGTAAAAATGAGTGGTTAAAGTCCCTCTTTGCTCACTGATTAAACCCCTATAAACTCATCTCAGTAAATCAAAGTTACATATTTCTAAGTTTTTTCCCATTAAAATAATCCCTGCTACTCTAAAATGGTTTAGATATACCTCAACAACATTACTTCCTCTAGAATGCACAGATCCATAAAGTCCTTGTCTCTCTCGTCACTCACCATTCCCCTCCCACTGCAGCTGGAGCACACCAGCTCACCTGCAGTTATGCTCAAACACTGTAAAACTACCCTATGCCACACAGGGGCAAGTTGTACGAATATAATAATATCTTTGGTATTCAGCCATACACGTTTAAAGCTGAAAAACCATGTCTGACAAATAGGTTTGTTCCATATGAAACCCCAGAGGTCTGAAACTGTATCTTTGAGACTGACATTGGTACCCTGCAGTTTCATAGTGGAAATGCTGAGCTGCTTATTTTGTTCATGTTCTATCTGCCAGCACATAAAAACATTATGTGAGGTGTGTCAGAAAAGTTTCAGGACTGGTGTCACAAACACTACATTTCAAATCTAAACTACAAACTACGAGTTTTCCCCCTTCAAAGTAATCCCCCTGGAGTCTAACACACTTTCCCGGCCTTCTCTGCCACGCCGCCACGCACTCCTGGAAGGATTCTTCCAGGATCCTCCGCAGCTCCGTCGTCACAGCCATCTTGATGTCGTCCACGTCTTCAAAACGGGTCCCCTTGATGACCCCCTTGAGTTTGGGGAAGAGGGAAAAATCCCACGGAGCCAGGTGGGATGAGTAGGGAGGTTGCCCCAGCACGGCGATGTTCTTCTCAGCCAGAAACGTTTGGATGCTCAGGGCGTTGTGAGCAGGCGCGTTGTCATGGTGATCTCTTTGTAGACGTGCTGGTTGATCGTCTGAAGGGGAAAACTTGTAGCTTGCAGTTTGGATTTGAAATCTATCTTTTGTGACACCAGTCCTGGAATTTTTCTGACGCACCTTGTAAATCTGTTTAGTCTGAAAACAATTGCTCAATAAAGTTCAGATATGCAGAAAACATAAGTCCACATTTCAATATCACAGCTTTTCACTTGCCCTTTTTATTTTGCTTTTTGCTAATTCTATGTGCCTTTACTTCTTTTTCTTCCAAACGCCACAGGATCTCTTTGTAGATGTGCTGGTTGATCTTCTGAAGGGGAAAACATGTAGATAAAGTTTGAAATATATCTTTTGACACCAGTCCTGAAATTTTTCTGACACACCTCGAATGGACACATTGACAGGGGGAAAAAAAAAAAGATTTTCATCAGTGGGCCATTAAAGTAAAAAAAAAAAAAGTTTTTATAAGAGCCACTATTTTTTATTAGAATTATTATTATTATTTGTTTTTTTGTTTGTTTTTAGTGTTTGTTGTATTACAGCACAAGGCATTGAACAGTTGTAACAGTTAGTCAGGTGATAAAGTTGCACTATAAGGAATGTCTACTTATAAATCCACTATGACCGGCTGACTCACATAGGACATCCGACCACAGAACAGAGACATTGAGGCTCTGCTTGCCAACGGTTTCCACTCTCCTTTCCAGTGGGATTGTCATAGGACCTCTGTGGTCAGTATTCTCTGTAGAAACAGTGACTGCAATCAGACATTTGAAGCCACATCCCTGCTTGTACGTACTCTACCACCACCCAAATACGTATCTCTGTGAAAGGTCTTCTTCTAAAGCGAAGCATGGCAAATGGATGGAAAATCGTATTTATCTCAGTAAGGTCTGGAGTGCTGCATGTGTCATCACATGCTCCTGTGAGCTCCTCTCTGTGGTGGTGAAGGTCGCGTGGTGATATTCTGTCTGAGTCTGTGTGTCTCTCTTGTTCGCCCAAAGACAAGGTGACAAATGGCGATATCAGCCCTGAGGAAAAGAAGCAGGAGACGGAGAGAGAGAAGCTTCTTGAAGACCCATCAGCAGAAGAAAATCACAGGTAGTTAACACAACACACAAACAAGTCACAGTGGATGATCGTGATCCCATCATCCCCTTAAAACTGGGGTAGGCAGTTGTTTTGGCCTCACTGGGCAAAAAAATTCCACAGTAGCATTTCAGCATGTTCAAGTGCTCTGAGAGAAAAGTAGATTTTTGCACCTCCTCTTGGCTTCATTTTCCGACTCTATAAAATCTAAGCTGTAATGGGAGACCGGTCTTTTCACCCAGAGTGAAAGGGCTTTCATTCAGGAGAGCGGGGTTCGAATCTTATTTTTTTAGCTCGACTGTTTTTGCACATTTGAAGCATGTGCATATTCTCACAATTGTGTGATGGGAGGGGAGTTATATTTTCAAAATATGGTGTTTGTTTGTTTTGCCGTGTCCAGATTTTCTGCCTACTGCAGTTTTAATGGACTCAATAGAAACTAAATGACAAT